CACTTTGTCTTCAAAGAAATACATTTAATTTTAGAATTATGGGGAAAATTTATTATAATACAATTTTACAAAATTGCTGTTTTAACTATTAAATAAATGCAGTCTTGATGAGCATAAGAGACTTTAAAACATTTTAAAAATCTCAGACCTCAAACTTTTGAACAGTACACTGTTAAAAATGAAGTTTATTTATTGGCATTGACAGGTCCATGAAGAACCTTTAATATCCAATGAATCTTTACATTACACAAAAGGTTCTTTACATTATTAAAATGTTCTTCACAATAAGAAAATAGTTATTTTAAAGGGCATCTATTATGCAAAATCCACTTTTACATGGGGTTTGGACATAAATGTGTTGGCAGTGTGTGTACACAACCACCTTCCAATGATAAAAATCCACCCACTCCTTATTTTTTAATCCCTATTAAACCAAATCAGTCTCATTAGACATGCCGTTTTGATTCTTGAGGCCCCGGCCACGGCTGCTGACTGACACGGCCGTATTAGCAGAGACCCCGTCCTGAGTGAGCCACACACAATCCGCCATGTTTATCTTCACGCTAGAGCATTTAAAAGCAGCAATCAAGTTAGAATTGTCTTCTTATTAAAGCTATAGAAGTTATTCAGTCCAGAGCAGTCAGTGATTTTCTGTTTTTATTTATTGTTTGGGTCATATGAACAGCGCAGACAGCAGTATAGGTACTGCATATTAGGGCTGGGTTTTGACACAAATTTCACGATTTGATTCAATTCGATTCTCATTCACAAGCTTGCGATTCAATTCGATTCAATATCGATTATTTTGGATATATATCAGGTACAGTACATGCCAAATTTTCTCAAGGAAAAAAAAATCTCTCAACTAATGCTGTAAAATATACATGAGATTCAGTTGGTACTACATTAATATTGATTAATTTGTTAAAATTACACTTAATGAAGTTTTTAAAATAAAGTTACAATCACATAATAATATTTCTACTTCAATTTGTTTTTTTTAAATATAAACAATGGTGGCTGTCAAAAACTTGATGGATTTATTCAAACATAAATTAAACATTAGCCCCTTTCACACTGCACGTTGGTCCCGGAAAATTGCACGATCTGGCATCTTAAATGAAACAGGACGCGTCACATTACACGTCACATCGTAGTGTCACGTGTCTTTACGGGATCTTTACGGGATGTGTGTGAACGCAGACACAGATTCCAGAAAATCACTGGCAGTGTGAATGAACCACAATTAAATGATCCCGGGACAAATCAAGGGACACATTTTCCGTGTATTTTCCGGAATTTCTGTATAAAAGAGGCTATAGAAGAACAGTAAAATGTATAATGAATATGTTATATGGTGCATATATTTAGCAAAATACCCCTCTCTACAGTTTATTTTTCTATCTGACTAATGAGTTTATGGTCACCAAATATGTTTTTTCTGAGGTAAATGTGATGTTACGCGACATTGTTTACAAGCCGTTCTATTGACATCTTTGCGCAGTTGAAACACTGATTGAGAGATTACATGAGACAGGATGCGGATTGTAAAGTTGTACTCTTACTTTTAACTTACCTTCGGATGTTTAGTCATGTTTATTTTGTGCTGAAACTGGTATTAATGTGGAGGAGATGATCAGTTCACGTGCACCTCACACTGCCGTTTCTATTGAACTGAGACCCTACAGCGATCTGTCACTCTACATTAAACAGCGCCAAAACGGCATTTATTGTTTGAATACTGCAATACAATGGACAGAATTTGAAATCTGAGTGTGACGAGAGGGGCGGGGCCGAGAGCCGTGGGAACGGAGCGAGGCCGGTGGAGTAATTGCGAATGCGCGACACCTGCGCCACTCACCGGTCTCGAGTCTCACGGAGGAGCTCCGGAAGGATACAAAGGAGGAGTGACGACAGGGAAAGACGGGGTGGGACGGAGAGCTCGCTGCCGCGCTCCTGGGTCGAGGTGGGGTGGCTGCCGTCCGTGAGGGAGCGGAGGAGTCTGCCCGTTCGCCAGGAGGCCGGAGCCTGCTGCCATCCACCATGATTGGGGAGCAGCAGGGAACAGGGGACTCGCTGCCGGCTGCCCTCAAGAGGAGGAGCCATCGCCGTCCGCCAGGAGATTGCGAATGCGCGACACCTGCGCCACTCACCAGTCTCGAGTCTCACGGAGGAGCTCCGGAAGGATACAAAGGAGGAGTGACGACAGGGAAAGACGAGAGAGGACCAGGCCTGGATTTTATTTTGTGTTTTGGTTTCGTTTGTGCGCGGCAGTCGTCCGCGAGGGGCTGTCGCGCTATTTGGTGTTTATTTTATTATTAAAGTTTTCTTGGAATGTTCGCCGGTTCCCGCCTCCTCCTTCCCGACCTACAAACTACGTTACACTGAGACTTTGTTTCATATTTACCAAAGCACAATGCTTATTGCGATATATTGGATGGGAGGTGCCCTTCAACATTACGTCCGTGTTTTTGTAACGTGTTTTTAACTTAACCTTGTATGTATTTGACAGTTTAAGTGCAATAATACATGAAAGAGAACTTAGTTTAGTACTCACATGCCATGTGACAGCCGCTTTCTGTGCGTGTGCTTTGGATGTGTGCGCTCAGAAAACACTATATCAAGTTTAAACTGATATGGCTTTAAAACACATGATTTCAGCGCGATATACATGATAATCAAAACCAAACTGATGATTTTTGGCAGCGTATTTGAGGTACGAACTGTAAAGAGGCACAGCCCTTTTGTGGAAAAGGGGGGCGGTGAACAGCAGCTAATTTGCATTTAAAGATACAGGCATGAAAACAGCGTGTTTGTGCTTCACCTCAAAATAGGCATTTTCAAAATTATATAATAAATTTTCTGTGGGGTATTTTGAGCTGAAACTTCATCGGGTCATCTAAGACCTACATTACATCTTGTAAAAAGTGCCATAATAGGTGCCCTTCAAGAACCGTACACTTAAAGTTTTTTTTGGGGAACCTAAAATAATTCTTCTATGGCATCACTGCAAAAATCCCCTTTTTGTAACCTATTTTTAAAAGTGTAGTGTAATATACATTTTAAGAGAGTTGTAACCTCATAATTACTTTAAGAAAATAAATCTATAAAACAAATCTATTAGGATTGATATTTGAGAATAATCTGAATCATATATGGCCACCAGGAAGTTACACCTGATAAACATGCAGATATACTATTAACACTTTACAATAACATTTCATTTGTTAAAATTAACTACATTAGTTATAGCATTTATTAATCTTGTTAATTTCAACATTTATCAAAACATCTAAAAAAAAAAAAGTAATATCTGGTAACAGATAATTCACTAACATGAACAAACAATGAACATTTGTATTGTTATTAACAACAATAAATGCTGTAAATATATTTATATTAGTTATTATTTCATGTTAGCTAATGCATTAACTAATATTAACAAATGAGACCTTACAGTCTCATTCTTCTCCCCCGAGTTACGTCTTCCGCCATTTTAGAGTATCACAACACATATGCACGCTTTCCCCCAAGCATAAACAATGCTGATTACGCAGATTACGCTCTTGGGTACTCTCCAAAATGGCGGAAGACGTAACTCGGGGGAGAAGAATTGTTGAATAAATTGTTATTTTTGTTTTCTTTGCGCTCAAAAAGTATTCTCGTAGCTTCGCAAAACTGAAGTTGAGCCACTGATGTCACATGGACTGTTTTACCGATGTTCTTACTACGTTTCTGGACCTGGGAAAATTACAGTTGCGTTGCTGTCTATGCAGGGTCTGAGAGCTCTCACATTTAATCAAAAATATCTTAATTCGTGTTCCGAAGATGAACGAAGGTCTTACGGTTTTGGAACAACATGAGGGTGAGTAATTAATGACAGAATTTTCATTTTGGGGTGAACTAACCCTTTAAGCCTATATTGAGTAACATTTCCCACTTGATAACACTTGGATCAATACACCTTTTGCAAATTTAAACATACGTGAGTCAGAAAATAACCAAGGCTCTGGCAAATTGCCTCTTGGAAGTTACAAAAACATCCCAGATATTTAAAATGTGCATAGTGAATGTCTCTGTTATCTAAAATTTGACATATTTCATAACATATATTCTAGGAGTTTCTATTAACAGATTCAGTATGGGTTTTGTTTTTTTCCACAGACACTGTAGTGACCTGCAGCGGTCACATATCTTACTCAAAAGCAAATTCTAGTGGCGATTGTCTTATGATATGTTGGGATTATTTATGGCTTCTTTCATATTCAATTTTACACGTAATGGCCTTAATTGTTCAGATTGAGAATGAACATGCAGATTCAATTGTAGTATCTGATATTAAATGAATAAGGTAAAAATAAATAGATTTTATTTTTTTAGTTTCCCCTATAATGGTAAAATATTGCCATTAAACAATTTATTTGTGACTATGATTATATAAAAATGGCCAAGCTTTTCTATTGTATGTAATTTCATGAGCTGTCATGTGTATACAACCAATAAATCTGGACCTCAGATAAAAAGAAAAAAAACTACTTTTAAAAATAATTGTAAAAAATATTTGTCGTGCCTAAATTTATGTCAATTAAAACAATTGAATGCCATAATTTATTTACTGACATGACTTAAACTTTCGTGGTAAACGTTGTAGGCCTTTGCATTAACAGTGCACCTACAGTCTCAATAGGTATAGCAGTCAATCCAGGCATGGAAATAGCGGTATTTTTCTGGATATCTTCATGATTCTCTTTACACTTTACCTGCTATTAGAACTACTGAATTGCATTAATTATATATGGATCATCAATCTAAGTCTGTGCTGAATAACTCAATGTACGTCATTTGAAGTGTCTCTATATTTCTCTTGGTTGCTTTAGTTGAACCGGCTTCGGAAAATCAGAAAGGGGCCGACTGAAAAAAACTAGTTAAAAGCCATTGAACATTCACCATAACATAAAATAATCGATGCGCATTCCCAACACACGGAGAGATAAACTCACCGATCCTTCTGTCGTGCTCTTTTATTGCTTTTTCGGGTGTCTTCTTTTGTTTGCGAAAAAAATGCAATCAAGAATAGTCGGGTACATTTTCCCGAGGCTAGAGACGGTGGTGGATAAAACACACGGACGGGATACGATTGGGACCATAACTGCGACAATCGAAAAGCAAACTGCACATCAATGTGTCGATGAAATCGTAAACGTTTTACGTTTTGTATTTACATGGCCTACGATCCCCTCATCCCGGTGGCATTTCTTTCCCTGACGGCCGATATGGTCGCCAAGCGCAGCAGAGACGAGAATCAGGAGAGGTGGAGGCGAAGCTGCTGTTGACTGACATCAAGGGACTCCAATTGCGCGACGTTCTGTGTTCCGGCGGATCCGGATGGGGAAAGACTTTGGAAGAAAGCGTCACTTCCCCGCTCGAATTCCAGCTAGTGATGGGATGTCCGACTCAAATCCGTGAGTCGGTTTGTCTGAACAGTTGGTTTCAGAGAATCGGTTCTTCTTCTTCTTCTTCTGATGTTTATTGGCGGTTTTGGCAAACCAACTTAAAGGTGCATTACCGCCACCTACTGATCTGGAGTGTGGAGTGAACAGATTTGGTAGAGAGAAGGATATTATAAAAAAAAATAAAAAACACCAAAAAAAAAAAAATTTATTTTTTTTATTAATTTATGTTTTTTTTATATATATACCTACACTATTACAATTTATATTCTTTCCATATTTCCTGTCTTTTTTAGATAATTGAACACTTCTTCTTTAATTCTAGATTGCATTCGTCTATTCCCTAGTAATATCTTTAGTGATACTTTATCAAATCCCATCAAACCTAATTTATGATTAAGCTGATTTCTTTCTCTTTCATACGCATCACATTCTAGAAGAATATGCTTTACTGTTTCTGGATTCCCACATTTATCACATCTTCCATTTTCATGCTTCCCTATTTTGTGTAAATTGAAATTTAAAGCTGAATGTCCAATCCTCATTCTTGTTATAATAGAGAATCGGTTCAAAATGATTCAGATGTTATATTCAGATAAAGGCAAATACAGGCACGTTTTGCAGTTTAATAGGTTTTTTAAAATACGTATTATAAATAATTGCAGAATAATATATAGTTATTGTAATATCCTATCTATATATCAATATCGTATCATATCGTAGTTCAGTTTGTTCGAGACATGATTTATATGCATAAAAGCATTTTAATTATAATTTGCATTGAAATTGCATACTAAAACTATTTCCCAGAGGTGGGACCAAGTCATTGTTTTGCAAGTCACAAGTTTCCCAGAACGTTGCAGGGTGGTTATTTTTAAAATAACCTAAAAATAACTTATAGAGAACGTTCCCTAATGGTTATTTTTAGGTTATTTTTTTGCAACCATAAAATAACGTTCCCAGAACGTTGCAGGAAGGTTATTTTTATAACCCTGTAAAACTACCTTTCCAATTAAAACGTTGCAGATGTTAATGTGTAATGACCTATACAGAGCCCTGAAATTCGTTTAATGCAGCATTGATTAAAATACAGAAATGAGATCAATCAAAACGCGATTTAAATCATAATATTAAGCCAGGGTTAAGGGTAGAGTGATAACAGAAATAATAAATTTGTGTGTTTGTTTCATCTTCATTTACTGCGCGCTCGCAGAATAAAAAAAATTAACGATCAATTTTCGTTTTACTGACTGACTGACTCGCTCGTTTATCGATCTCTTTATTGAATGATTACTTAAAATTAATATATTTATGAGAGTAAATATGATTTCGGAGGGATTTAAAATGCCTAACTGAAGAGAACATGATGTTAAGCGAGAGGTTTTTGTTTACGGATCAAAAGAAGGTCCGGCTGCACAAACATCAGTGGTAAGAAATTAATTGGCTCATCAGCAATACATCTGTGCAAGATTTTGAGAGCAGGGAAGAGTCAGGGAATAAGGGAAATCAGCCTTCTCTAAATCATAGCACTTGTTATTTTGAGTCTATCGAGATATATTTAGGTTTCAACAAGACAAGAATTATTTTGTCATAAAATTATGCTATGACAAGTCTACAGCTGCTGAAAAAAAGACAACAATTTAAATGAACTGCAAAAGCTAACTGTGAAGGATAGACATACGTGACGGCATCTGAAGTGAAGGCATGTGTGTGAGATGTGGGTGACGTTCAGAAGCCTGAGATGGAGTATTGACTTACAAATACCAAAGCCCTGGTCAGAGACATGCATTTAGAAAAAACTATCACAATGCTCTACATTACTACAAGCTCGCAGACCAACACACATGTTTTTTTACAATTTTTTTTACAATTACAAAAACAAAAACAAGCCACCCACCAAAACCACCTGCATGTGAAGTCTCTCACGAGGCCTCCATTAATCCTTCATGTGAATTGCTGTGGGGTCAGCTGGATCCATTTGCACTGATATGACAACAAATTCTCTCAGCCCTTGACCTTCATAAGTGCAGACATGATATTTGAACAGTATAATAATAATGCATTGTCAACTAACACGGAATGATATTATGTGTGTTCGTGCGTGACAGGCTCACAAGGACGTGGCATCCTGCTGTGGCTGTGATGGTTTCTTGGCAGGATTCTTTCTCTAGTGAGTCTGTGCCACAGAAGAGGAAAGAAGATGTGTCACACAACCCAAGGCCCTGTCACAACAAACGTGATTATTTGGCGTGAAGAATTTAAATAGCAACAATGGATTCCTGCAGAGCTACTCACATTCGATCCGAACATTTTCCCACCTACCAAGCGAAGCCTTGTTTTTGTCATCGACGAGTGTATCGATTTGTCTTAGTTTGGCTATGAAAGGGCACCACGTTACAGGAGCCGCTGCAGATGGAAGTCATTTGACTCTGTGAGTGTATGGTGGGTGGCGCTAACGCACTGATGGCAAACAACGACTACCCAGCAAACACAGAACGTTCCCCTAACATTAGTTTTTGGTTCCTGTTTGGTTATTTTTTTGGGGGGAACCAAATACTAACATTAGGGGAACGTTCTTTTTAGGTTATATTTTTTTGTAACCATAAAATAACGTTCCCAGAACGTTGCAGGGTGGTTATTTTTAAAATAACCTAAAAATAACTTATAGAGAACGTTCCCTAATGGTTATTTTTAGGTTATTTTTTTGCAACCATAAAATAACGTTCCCAGAACGTTGCAGGAAGGTTATTTTTATAACCCTGTAAAACTACCTTTCCAATTAAAACGTTGCAGATGTTAATGTGTAATGACCTATACAGAGCCCTGAAATTCGTTTAATGCAGCATTTATTAAAATACAGAAATGAGATCAATCAAAACGCGATTTAAATCATAATATTAAGCCAGGGTTAAGGGTAGAGTGATAACAGAAATAATAAATTTGTGTGTTTGTTTCATCTTCATTTACTGCGCGCTCGCAGAATAAAAAAAATTAACGATCAATTTTCGTTTTCAGAAGTGTGCATCCGCGCATCGAGTGCGCATACCGGCCGCAAAGGGGGCGCTCGCGCGCACCCTTCTGAAAGCTAAAATGATGAATGGGACACCCTACGGCAGGGCTATTCAATTAATTTAATTTGAGGGCCGGATTATTGAATTGAAAATTAAAGGGGGCCAATGGGGTGGGGGCCGTCCCAATCTCTTTCTGGGGGCCTATAAAATTAGAAATTAAATTTAAATGCATATTCAGCAGTAAAATCAACTAATTTTACCAAAACCAACATCTATAAAAAAACATTAGTACTGTCTGTCAGTCGATTAAAAAAAAGTAGCTAATTAATCGCACATTTTTCTGTAATTCATCATGATTAATTGCATATTAATATATTGTCATAACTTCACATTGGTCCTCCAAATTAATGTAGAAACAACATAAAGGTGGTATATTTTAAATATCCCAGATAGCACACCTATGCAAGATGTCTGTTAAAGATCGCTTCCTCTGAAAAGCATCTGCTGTGTACAAACATCTGATAGACGTCTTTTAGATGTCAGTTTTACATACATTCTAAATAATAAACATCTTAAACATTTTTTAAACGTCTATTTGACATAGAATAGGAAATGTCCTATACATGTGTACTGCAGATGAGCAAACACTCTAAAAATATGTCTTACAGATGTAAATGCAAATGTTAAATAGACATCCTGATGTACATGTGCTATCATCAGGGATGTGTCTAATGGCATCTCTTTACTAAGTAGCCTATTATTAACAATGGCCAGTATTTTTGATACCAATACTGCTATTGATGTCTCTATTAAATGCATTTTCACCTCAATGTTAGCCATTCAACATTACAGTATAACTTAAAGACATTATTTTTTTAACATTTCTCTGAAAAATATAGGCTCTGAAGAAATATAACTTTTAATTTAAGCGAACGTAAAGCAATCTTCACATAAACTATAAATTGTATTTTATAGTTTTGGCATAACTGTGTGTGTTTTTGTCCGTTGAAGTGCTACTGCGCTGTCTGAAGCGGCTCAGCGTGTGCGTACAGGCTTACAGCAGAACGCGCAACCTTTTAAACTATACTCCATTTGATAATCATCTTCGTCCAGTGTCTGCGCTATTTCTCGCCAGACGTTATGACCGATAACACTGCCTTTATACTTGTTTAAACTAGAGTTGTGGATATCTCTTAACCCCCTCACACAAGCGCTTGCCAACGCTGTCGTCTCCGGTAGGTTGCTGTTGTTGCGTCTCTTCCTTTTCTTTTCTGGCTGTGAAACAACAGCATGGGCCAGTGTTGCTACCTTGTGGACAAACTAATTAGTGCAAAAACCATTCAAGGCGTACTCTTCTCTCGGGCCGAATGAAGATGATTGGCGGGCAGTCAGTTGAATAGCCCTGCCCCACGGTCTCGTGGACTTAACGGGACTTTATCCCATGGACCCAGGGTCGGCGCCAGAGAGCACAAAGTGAGGGGGCAGGCACAACTTTTTTTTTTGGGGGGGGGGGCTGCTTTGAAAAAAAAAATGTTTCCGAAAGTAATTTTCAGATGCAACGGGGGAAAAAACGGGATAAACACAAACATGAAACTTGCAAATAAAATTATCTAATATATAGCCTATGTGCAATTTAATAACATATAGCCTAGTTTGATATATGAATTGAGTGTTCGTCAAAGATGCGGTCGGAGATTCCCCTTTTACAGCTCCATAAAATAACCTACTGGAAGCTCTGTAGTTTTGCTGTATAGGCCAATAGATAAAAATATTAAAATTACAAACACACAACATTTTGAGTTACTTCTGAAAAAAATTACGTAGGCCTAGTAATTGATGTTATAAATACACACGCCTGATTTTTGTTTTAATTATCCATCGTACATAAAAACACAACAAAA